GCTGCTGCAAAAAATGTATGGTGAAACAATTTTCAATCTCTAACAAACCATGAATTAACAATCTACACGAAGCACAAATAGGATCGATTCCTTTGGTATATTTTTTTAGCACAGACAAGAATGTTAATAAATGAAAGCCGCCTTCCAGCATCAGCAAATTCTCCTCATGAGTGATCTGTACAGTGGAGAGATACAGTTTTATGTTTTAAACCCTCTGTTGACAATCTGAACCATGAAGGGAAATGTTTCAGCACAGAGGAGAAATCTGAAGTTAGTCTTTGAAACCTGATAAAAATTAACACATGGTAGTAAAAAAATAAATAGATTACAGGAACAAAACTAAAAAAAACTAGCAGGACATTAAAAATATTTAGCTTTTTAGTTTTAAGGTTTTCTGTTGGACCACTCAAGATTTAAAGAGACATTTTTCTGTTTAAATTTTATGCAGATTTTAAGAAAAGTTGTTTTAAAAACCTACACAGAGGTTTCAACATAAATCCCCCAAAACTGTAAATAATGTGGAAATATTTCATATATTTACTGTAGGAAAATGTGTCCTGAGTTTTTTTTATTTTATGTAGACATAAAACATATTGCTTTGTTGTAACACCAGTAATTGGGAATAAATCAAAAATATAACTCATCAAAATAGTACTGATGAGTGTTCTTCTGAAGCTGGCCTATGAATTATATTTAATGTATTTTTAAAGGATATATTCCATAATTCCTTGCTCTACTTCCTTGACATTGTTTAAGACATATTTATATATTTTTTAATAAATAAGTTATATTCTACAAATGTATTAATCTAATATATTGTGGGCAAAATTTCCTCTTATGCTCTAAGGCTGTAATTAAATATTAAGTTGCTGATTAATTTATCTGTAATAATTTTTTCATTGTCCAGAGGTCAGAAGGAACAAGGAGCTTGATAAATTCTCCTTCTTGGATTTCATTATGTAAGCTTGCAACAAATTCATTTGTAATTAATAATCCTAAATGTTTTTTAAGCTCATCAGAAAATAGGATTTGTGTAAAATGTATGATGGCCTTGAGTTTATTTAAAGGAGTGAAAAGGAATTTAGTGCCTGATTCAGTGATATCAGAGACAGGAGGGATCTATTTAATGAATAAATCTTACGTCCTCTTCTATTCTTAAGTAAACTATAACACCAATATGTACTTTTTGTGAGTCTGAGTGTGTTAAATATGCTATTTGATAGGAAAACTGTTAATTTCCAACCCTTTTGTCCAAGAGAGAATCCTGACCAACCGATTCATTGACAGATTCTGTGTGTTTACTGCCGGGAGAACCTTCCTCATTTCCGTCTGAAATAATGACACTAACGAAACCATTTCATCTGTCTTCTTTTCATTGCTTTGTTTTTTAGCGATGGTCTCGTCTTAATGCCGTGTGAAAATTTACTTTAGATGTTTTAAAGGACGAAATGTGGAGAAAATACGCCTCTTGATGCTCAGAAACAACGAGCTTCAGACACTTTTGAGCGTTCCTGGGTCAAAAAGAGAAAGTCCTGGAAACCAAATGCTACCTCATTGTGTGGCGCCGACAATTACCTTTCCATTAAAGTAAGTTATATGATAAAAACTTTATTTTAGCGAAGATTTAAAGCCTTAAAATGCCGCGAAGAAAACACAACTGTGGAGCGATTTGACGCGGGAGCAGAGCAGCAGGCTGAGTTGTTTCTTCATGGTTCTCATCCATATTATAAATCCCGCCTCCTGCTCTGAGCTGGAGACGTTCAGAGG